CTGCCGGGCCGTCTCCCCCTTCTCTTTCTCTAACAGAACCTTACCCGTGCTCAGGTGTTACCCCCATCCCCTGCTCCCACATGAGTGAAGTGAAGGTGATGTGCCCTGACCCCAGACAGCCCCCATTCCCCTACACAGTCCTGGTCATGTGGCCCAGCGTCCCTGCCTGTGCCTGGCTTTGCGGCAAGAAGACACGAGGGGGTTCCCGGGGGAGGTTTCTGGGAAGAAAGGTTTGTTCTCTCTCTCAAGGAGCCTCCAGGGAAGAAGGCGGCCTCTTCCTCCCGTGCATTTGTCAAGGGGTAGTGGCCTCGCAAGGCCTGCCTGGGGGTGGGGAAGAGAGGGGGGCGCCGCCCCCAGGACCGGGGCTCCATTATGCCCCCTCCCGCCTCCTGGCTCTTTAACCCAATTTGAGTTGGGTTGGCGGGAGGGGGGGGGGTTCTGTTTTGCAGCCCAAGGCGTCCTGACTGACGGCCCCGGGCCTGGTCGCAGAGTGAGTAAGGAAGGCAGGTGAACAGAGACCCCGGCCCAGCAGGAGAACACAGAAACTGGCCGGCTGCTAGGCCGTCTGCCCACCACGCAGCTGCTGCCCAGATTTCGGTCGGCGTCCTTCTTTGTTTCTTCAAGTCCAAATATGGTGACATCACTTTTTGGCTTTCTTCTTGATGTCTCTCATGGCTCGTCCGTGTTGAATTCTTTATTTATTTTATTTTTTTATTATTAAAAAAAATTTTTTTTAACGTTTAGTTATTATTAAAAGACAGAGAGAGTCAGAGCGTGAGCAGGGGAGGGGCAGAGGGAGAGGGAGACACAGAGTCTGAAGCAGGCTCCGGGCTCCGAGCTGTCAGCACAGAGCCCAACGTGGGGCTCGAACTCACAGACTGCGAGATCGTGACCTCAGCTGAAGTCAGATGCTCAACCGACTGAGCCACCCAGGCGCCCCTTATTTTTATTTTTTTAATTTAAATCCAAGTTAGATAACATATAGTGAGATGCTGATTTCAGGAACAGAATTTAGGGATTCCTCACTTCCATACGCCACCCAGTGTTCATCCCGACGAGTGTCCTCCTCAACGCCCATCCCCCAGCTAGCCCATATCCCCACCCACCTCTGTCCTCCAGCACCCCTCGGTTTGTTCTCTGCGTTTAAGAGTCTCTTATGGTTTGTCTCTCTCTCTTGTTTTTTTCTTATTTTTGCTTCCCTCGTCCATGTTGAATGATCCCCTCCCCTTGCAGGATCGGAACACCTGGGATTTGTTTAATCCAAAGGCAACCGGTCCTGGGTGAACGCTAGACAAGGGGACCTGGACATTAGGCGGTCGACGCAGGGCCGCTGCCATTGGCTGCACGTGGTGTTGCTGTTGGAGACTGGCCCTGCTTGTCCCTCCTCGTGATGTCCTCACTGCCCACTCCCTGTCCAGGCCACAGTGGGGCCCCGTGCCTGGTTGCAAGGCTGTATGCGAGGTGAGGGCTAATTTCCACCTCCTCGGTCAGTGATTATCCCTAATACACACTCCCAGGGGGGCCTGGTCCTGAGATCTTCCTGTCTCTGCTGCAGGTCCCAGCTCCAGGGGACACAGGCACACTACATTTCAGAGTTGTGCTGTAGGAGTCCTATTTTACAGCTCACAACGCTTTAAAGAACCAACCCTCCCGGGGTCGGCCTCTGCCTTGTGCGCCCCCAGCCAGGCCTCTCCCTGTAGGGACCCTTGGTATATTTCACTACCTGTCATACTACAAAAGCAACTCTTTCTTTTCTTTTCTTTTCTTTTTTTTTTTTTTTTTTGAGCAAGAGCAGGGGAGGGGCAGAGAGAGAGGGAGAGAGAGAATCCCAAGCAGGCTCCACACCATCAGCCCAGAGCCCAATGTGGGGCTCGAACCCACGAACCGTGAGATTGTGACCTGAGCCGAAATCAAGAGTCAGACGCTCAACTGACTCAGTCACCCAGGCGCCCCAGACACCAGCTCTTTTCCATTCTCAGACCCAAGGCCAACACCAAGCCCTTCTGAGACACCAGCAGGTGTCCAAGAATTCAACTCGATTTTCATACTGTCCACCTGGAGGTATAGCGTCAGAGTCCATGGGCTAAGGGCTCCTTCCTCTAAGACTTCCCATCCTTCACTTCAGATACCAGGCTCAAGCCTCAGGCTGGCACCTGTGCTCCTGACCAACCCGTACGGATTGGAGGCTCCAATGATCCTCTCCTTATGGTAGATTGATTTGCTAGAATGGCATGTGGAACTCGGGGAAAGGCTTCCGCTTATCAGTTTATGAGAGGACATAACAGAGGGTATGAATCAATAACCAGACGAAGAAGTATATTGGGTGAGGTCCTGAACAAGGGAGATTCTGTTCTTGTGAAGTTCTGGGCCTGGCTGGGCGGCATGGGGAAACATACTGGCTCCCCAAACATGGAAACGCTCCCAAGTCAAATGGCCAAAGCTGCCCTCTTGGGTTTCGATGGCGGCTTCACTACGTAGTCATGATTGGCTAAGCCATGGGCTACTGGCCGATTCAGCCTCCAGTCCCTCTCCCTTCTCCCCTCCCCGGAGATGGGGGGCACTGACCATTCTAACCCTAGAATCATAAGACTGGTCTTTCTTTAACCAGCGCCACCCTCGGGCAGTCACCTTCAGTAATAACAAATCACCGATTTCAACTTTATGGCTCTGAAAGGTTTTCAGGAACCGTGCATGAAGGCCAAATGTATCTGAGAAATATGTATTTGGTCATCTGAGTGGTTTCCTATAAATCACTCTACGTTGACATCTCTTAGTTGACTCCCACATTTCCCACGCTTGGTGCACTGGAGCTCTGGGTACAGGCATCAGCGTTCTGAACCCTCCTTCCCCAGAGGCCCTTGCGTTCCTTGCAAATTGGCCCACTGGGCGCCCGGAGTCTTGCATTCAGGGAGAAGCTAATTTAAGCAGACACTGTCTTAGCATTGTGGGGAATGAGATCTCAAGGAGCAGGGTGGGGGTCAGGGGAGTACCCGGGAGGATAGGGAGTCTGCACAAAGTTGCATTATTGAGTCGGCCACTGCAAAAGGCAGCGAGGTGCCCGATCCCGCAGACTCTCTGAGCATGCTATGAAATGTGTCTTAGAACTACACGCCCAAGGAACGAAGTGGGAAATACTCCGCTAGCTCCTGACCCCATTGGTCAAGGGTATCCCATGGGTATCCCTCAACTAGCAAGTTGAGGGCGAGGGCTCTGAGGTCAGCTTAAAGCCTGCTCAGAGCTGGTTGTTGCAGCAAAGGTGGACCTCTGGAGGGGTGCCCAAGAGTAGCAGGATACCACCCCCTGTCCCCCACAAGGGAATGCTTGGCCTCCTGACTTTGCACCTGCATAACCATGCACTGAGTCTGGCCAAAGCCCTGGACAAAGATGACTGGTTTCACACTGGCCACATCTCTGCCTAAGAGGTAGCTGACACAATCCTTTTCTAAGACTCACGTGCTCTAATCCGTACCTTGTTGCCCTGTTTTTTATTTATTTTTTATTATTTATTTATTTATTTTTTAATTTTGTCAATGTTTATTTATTATTGAGAGACAGAGAGAGACAGAGCATGAGCAGGGGAGGGGAAGAGAGAGAGGGAGACACAGAATCCGAAGCAGGCTCCAGGCTCCGAGCCGTCAGCACAGAGCCCGACGTGGGGCTGGAACTCACGAACCGCGAGATCGTGACCTGAGCCGAAGTCGGACGCTCAACCGACTGAGCCATCCAAGCGCCCCTTGAGTGGCTTTTAAAAAACAGGGCAACAAGGGGTACCTGGGTGGCTCAGTCGGTTGAGCATCCGACTTCGGCTCAGGTCACGATCTCGTGGTTCGTGAGTTCCAGCCCCGCGTCGGGCTCTGTGCTGACGGCTCGGAGCCTGGAGCCTGCTTCGGATTCTGTGTCTCCCTCGCTCTCTGCCCCTCTCCCCCAATAAACAAACATTAAAAAAAATTAAAACAAACAGCCAAGGGAGGACGTGTGTGGGGCAGAGCCCAGGCACTTCCAAGCACGATGCACCTAGACGTCCTCTCCCAGCGAGAGTCGTGGACTTTCCCCGGCAGCAACGTGGATAACACACACATAAAATTTTGCCGACGGGGGAAGCGTTCCTGAGCCTTGGTGTCCAGTGTTTTTATTGGATCGTTTCGTGTAGACCGGGTTGGGTGCTCAGGGCCGACCTCAGTCTGCAGCCTCTCTGGAGGTCGAGCTGATCGCCCATGGCCCAAAGAAAGCGTCCACCATAAAGCACAGTGTTAGGTTATCTGCTGTGGGGCCCGGGGCCTCCAGGCAAACAGACGACTCTTACCAGGCAGGACATTCCAAGGGTTTAGAGGTCATCTCCCAGGAGCCGAGGACAAAGGCCAGACCTCGCTTCTGCCAAGGTTAATTCCTAACCGCACGGTACCGAGGACACACGTGTCCGTGAACATGCACGTCTACACACAGACTTCCGGGAATGGAAGTTCCATTAGTTTGGGGTTGTTCAAGGAGTCATTTCCCCCAAAGTTCCGCGCCTTCCTTTCTCCTTCGTTACGTAGCAAATAGACACCCGAGGCCCTCTCTTGTCGCCGCACCCTCCCACTGGCGGCCAGTCCCTTCCTTACGTTTTTGGGGCCCCCCCCTGCCCGGTGCCTTAGGCTGTGTGGGCTGTTCCAACGAAGTACCGCCCCCTGGGCGGCCCATAAACAACCGAAATTGACTTGGCACAGAGTTGGAGGCTGAGTCGGCCGTCGGGGCGCCAGCACAGTCAGCTTCTGGCGAGGGCCCTCTTCTGGGCCGCCGACGGCCAAGCTCTCCTTGCGTCCGTGCGAGGGAGGCAGGGCGCGGGGAGGGAACGGCACACTCGTGATTCTTACAAGGGCACGGATCCCATTCGCGGAGGCTCATCAAACCCATTTACCTTCCAAGGCCGCAGGTCCTAACGCCATCACACCGAGGGGTAGAGCTTCGACCCGGGTTGGGTGGGCCACATTCAGCCCTTCACAACCGGGGAGGCTCAGTGGTCCACACTCAGTGCTGAGGTTGCCTGCGGTCAAGTTGTCCTCATGGATGTGGCTGGACACTGGAGCCTGGGCCATAGACCAGGACGTTATGGCAAATCCAGTGTGGGTAAGTCCCCCTACCCCCCACCCCCCGTCTATACTCGGAGCTGCGGCTACGGGGGTGAAAGTTTTATTAGCTCATTACCAAACGCTGGCGACTTCCTGGGCCGCTCATTCTCTACAGCCGCGAAGGAGAGTGATAATCAGACATGAAACCATCCGATTAAAATTAACTCCGGGAAATGCCATTGTGAATTATTCTGGGGAGCTTTCTTTTAGTGACTTGTGGGAGCCAGTCTTCAGCTGTCTTCCCCCCCCCCCCCCCCCCCGCTTTTACCGTAACAGGGAAATCAAAAGCACATGCGGCTTTCAGGCGTGTTTTGAATTTTCAGATCCCAGCTCCCCCCCCCCCCCCCCCGCGACTGGAGGTCGGGGGGGCTGGTTATCTTTCGGGCGCGTGTGCCCTTGGAGGGTCTGAGGGCAGCGGAGGGCCGGGCCGCTTTGGAGCCGCGTTGGGCGGCCCGAGCGAGCACCAGGAATCCCGTGCGGGTGCCGGTAAGAAGTGCAAGTATGCTCGCCCGGCCGCCCCTCCAGGCCGCTCCCTGGCCCAAAGAGGACTGCGTGCCTTTGGAATGTCTCGAGCCCAAGATAAACTAAAGCTGGAGCCAGGGGCCTGCTGGAAGCCTCGCCACCCGGTTTGTTTTTATTCTGCGGACGGCACCTCTGCCTCTAGCTCAGCCCACAGCAGACTCAAGGCCTCTGATCGGCACACTGAGAGCAGGTCTGGGAGGCAAGACGGAGGCTCCAGGGGAGGAGCCTGGGGTTCCCTCCCAGGACCCCCCGGGTGACACTGGGCGCGGGTTTTCCCAGGAAAGTTAACAGAGGCATCGAGGTGTTCAGTGGCGAGCAGGCCTTTCGGTGTGTTTCGTCTATGGGGGTGAGCGGGGGCCGGGGCAGTAGCTACGCCGGAGAGGGGAACGGGGGGTTCCCGGGAAAGAGCCACGGACGGGGCGGCGGATCGTGTGCCTGTGCAGGACACACATGTCAAGGCCACTTTCGCGGGAGCTCGAGGCCGACCCAGGAGGCCCCGGCTGCAGGGAGGCCGGCCCCAGCAGTTGGGAATGTGTGTTTCTGGCGCTCTGCCCCTTGCTGGGGGTTATGGGTAGGGCATCTGGACGTGAGGGAGGTCTGGCTGGGGGCAGGCTGTCTCTCTAGGGGGTCTACCCTCGCCCCCGGGGAGGGCTGCTTGCCGCTCTGGGCTGTCATCAAAGCAGGAGCTCTGGGTGGCTGGTCCCTTGGAGGTCGTCATTTTAAGACAAGACTCGTAGAAGGCAGAGGAACATCTCCCTGCAGGAGTAGAGACGGGGAGGAGAGGAGCAGTGCCTGTGACTTTGGCTGGAGCATCTGCTTCAGCCCAGGATCTAAAGGGTAGTGGAAGAGCTAGTGCAGGGGCAAATGAGCTTCCTCCAGGGCGGCCTCCCAGCTTTCCTCCTCCCATACCTATTGTCTGCTTGGTCCTCAGTTTGCCTGCTCTCTGCTCAGGTGCAGCCGCTCTTCTATAATTTCTCCCTTGGCTGGGACCCCGGAGGCTCTAGCCCACAGAGCCACCAAGGGGGCCAACCAGGGAGCCCCCAGCTACATAAGGCCGAGTCAGCCTTGTTCACTCCGGGAGACGGTCTGCTGGTGCCCCAGCCCGTTGGCTTCTCAGACCCCTCACCGTGGCTGTTCCAGTCCAGCTTGTACGCTGAGCCATCGCCTGTCCTGGCACCGCCGGCCCCGTCCCCATTGCCCGTGACAACTCTCTTTCTCAGACAAGGTCCTTAAGATGCCATCTGGCTTCAAGCCCGCTGGCTTCTTGAGGATTCTCTGGCCCAGCTTCCTGTCCAGCAGAGGGCCCACCTGCAGGCTGCCTGGAGGAGTGTCCCCTGCTCCACTGAGGACCACTGGTGGCTTCCCAGGCACTCGCTGGGGCAGCCGCATAGCCTAGTTACTGTTATGTAACAAAACACCCCACACTTAGTGGCATTAAGTGACTACTTTTTTGTGCTCCCGGATTCTGTGGGCCAGGAATCTGGAAAGAAGTCAGCAGAAAACAGAAGTCTGTTTTCTGATGTCTGAGAAGATTCAAAGACTGTGCTACCTTGGGCAAGGTGCTTCACCTCTCTGTGCCTCAATTTCCTCATCTGTAAAGTGAGGATGACATTAGTACTTGTGGGGTCCCAGGGAAGAGTGAAGGAATTCCTGTGTGTACAGAGTTAGAGTGCTGCCCAGCTGTGTTGAGTGTTTGTTCTTCTGACGGTTTGCTAGAATCTGCTGGTTCATTTCTCACAACTCTTTGAGGCGGATGCTGTTAGCATGCCCATTTTATAGAGGAGGACACTGAGGCACAGGGGGCATTATGCTGGTCTAGTATCATTGGAGGGTGGGGCATAGGGGGCTGCCAGAGAAGGAGCCTCAAGGGAGCCACAAGGGAGATAAGGAAAGAGGAGAGACAGTGCTTCTCGTTCAGGCAGCAACATGTGCAAAGGCCCAGGGGTGAGCCAGAGCATGGGGCATGGAAGACACTGCATGTGGAGCGTGGCCGAGCCTGGAAACCGAGTGCTGACAATGAGAAAGGCGGCAGAGGTTGGTGAAGCCTGCCCTCCACACATTGAGCCTTTTCTGGGTTCTTATTAGGTGCTGGGCCCTGTACTTCATCTGAGTAAGCTGGTCCTTTCCCTGAGAGGCTCTATTACTTAGGATACACTTGGCTGGGACTCAGGAAACCTGAACAGCGATGACTTAAGGAAGTCAAGGAAATTCCCTCACATGACAATAAGTCTAGAGCCCCGCAGTCCCGGGCTGGTAGCAACTCAGAAGCCCCGGGGGGCTCCACTCTTGTCCTGTCTTTTTGCTACGTCTTGTGGTTTTAGTCCATGAGGCTGCAGTCCTCATGGTTGCTATTTGGTTGCTGTATCTCCAGACATCACATCATGTTCCAGGCACTCGTGCACGCTTATGTGAGCATGCGCATGCGTGCACACACACACACACACACGCACACACAAGGGCAAAGAGTAAAGGGCCACAACAAAAGGGAGCCAGGCCAGCTGAGTCTATCTCCTTCAAGAAGGCTTTGTAGTGAGCCAGACCGTGTGGTGGGCAGCTAATTGCAAGAGACTCTAGGAGGGCGCTTAGTTTTACTGCCCTGTGCAAAGATGATGTTCTCTAAGTTCTGAAGGAGGGGAGGATGGGTGTTGGGGAGGCCACTGGTCGTGTCTGTCACAGCATTCCGGGTTGAGGGAGAGGGACATACTTGCGAATGGATGATTCCCACAAACCCTGGTCGGTGGACGACAGAGGCACACTGAGGTCATTGGGGGCCCATCAAGGGGCGTCCAGCACAAGGAGAGCTTCTCCGAGACGGTGGTGTCTGGGTTCAATCTTAGCAACAGCGAGAACGAGCAGAGAGAACTGCTTTCAAAGCATTATAAGCACGTACGTGTGATCGGGGGCATTTTTGCCTAGTGCGTAAACCTTGGAGACTACTTTTGACCGTACTACGTTATGGCAACTCCTTACGGCTGCATCTCTAAGCTCCACGAGATTTGTTCAACACCGCATATCTGGTTCCGAGAATCGAGGCTTGACACTTAGCGCGTTGTCAGTAAGTATTTGATGAATGGCCGAATGAATACATGGATGAATGAACGGGCGACTCTTACCATTCAGAGGAGGACCTGATGGGTACGCAGAAGATGGAAACACTGTGGCAGGTGTGGCGGGTGGCGAAGCTCAGTGTCGCGCGCGGGAGCCAGAAGTGTTACCTTGCAACACGCAAGAGAGAGATTTGGGAGATGCCAATTTCATTGGATGCGTACAATTTGCAAATGTTTTGGCAACGGTGTGGGATTTCCAAGAGGACGTTTATGCATTAGAGTGTGTTTTCAATTCGTGCATTTCAAGTAAATTCACTCTAGGATGTGAGCTCGTTGCCGATGCCACTATTTCTCTCGGTACGCTAATTAGCAATCAAAATGCCGACGTGTCCTGCAGGTTTAACAAACGCTGGCAGCAATGATCTTTGATTCACTGGAAACAAATTAATAAATGTGTGAGATTCTTTCTAACAATCCCCACTCTTTAATGAGCTCTGGAAACTTGCCGAAGAACTAGGCAAGCATTCAGGCCTGACTTCTTGGATTTTTTTTTTTTTAAAGTGATATAGCTTTTACCTGGTAGAGATTACCCTGAATTAAGAAAAGTAGCCAGTGGACGGGACCCCCAAATCTCTTGCTGCTAAAGCCTTATGTGTGAAGCAGGGGGGAAAGCATCAGATTTGGGGCTTAATTTGGTTCCACTGGCCACATCTTCTTCCCTCCTGTCTGTGGGTGATACCCACATACCTGAATTCCCGTCATACCTGAATGGGTATGTTAATGAATTGCTATGGGAACTGGAACCCTTAGTCTTAATAAAATTTGTCAAATTTACAGAATGCACATTTCACCCAGATTCATTTTAACATTTTGCCATATTTGATTTCTCTCTATGACCATATCTACATCTGTTATCTTACTGTAGATATGTAATGCACACACACACACACACACACACACACACATACATATCATCTGGAAGAAAGTTCTGACTTTTATGACATTCCACACCTAAATTCTAATTCTTCTGTACGTCTCTCTTGAGAACAAGACACTTTCTTGTATCAACCAATATTTTATTACGTTAAAACTAATTATTTTAACGATATAATATTCAGTCCTAGTCCGTATTTCTTCAACTATGCCAAGAGTGTGTTTCACAGCTATTTTTTAGTTTTTAAATTTTTATTATTATTTTTAAATTTTTAATGCTTATTTTGAGAGAGAGAGAGTGAGAGAGAAAACGAGTGGGGGAGGGACAGAGAGAGAGGGAGACATAGAATGTGAAGCAGGCTCCAGGCTCTGAGCTGTCAGTACAGAGCCTGACACGGGGCTCAAACCCATGAACCATGAGATCATGACCTGAGCCGAGGTCAGACGCTTAACCGACTGAGCCACACAGGCGCCCATCGAATTCTTTTTAATTTAG